ATAGCTGTAAATGCATAAGCTAGTAAAGAAGAATGTTGAAAAATTAATGATCTATGTATTCATCTCAAGATTTTTTTAAAAAGATTATTTATTTGAGAGTGCAAGAGAACGGGGGGAGGAGCAGAGGGAGAGGGACAAGCAGATTCCAACTGAGTACGGAGCCTGACATGGGGCCTGATCTCATGACGCTGAGACCATGACCTGAGCCGAAACCGGTAGTCATGTTCTTAACTGACTGAGCCACCCAGGTGCCCCCATTTCAAGATGTTAAGACAAAGTGTACTAAATTAAATCCAAAGAAAGCAAAAAAATGGGAAATAATAATAGAGCTCAAATAAAAATTTATATATTTTGAAATATAAAATTAATGTACAACAGAGAAAATGAACAAAGCCAAAAATTTAGTTTTGGGACTAAAACTGATAAACCTCTAGGAAAATATAAAGAAAAAAAGGAGATAAGACACAGATTACCAAGTCAGTTATGAGAAAGGCTGAGTTCTCACTTAACTCTTGGTTGGTCCCTGGGACTTGGTTGCATATTATACGGTCATTAGAACCTGAGCTGGTGGTCATTATGCTGAGTCCCTTTTTATATGTCATCAGACATGTAAATTTATGTTTTTAATGTAGATTTTTATTTTTGTAACTCACTTTCTTCACTGGATGTGATGTGTGCTTAAAGTTGCATGATACGCAATGTCATCACAACTCATCATCCTGTCATAATATATTGAGCTAGGCTAGGCGTTTCTTAAAAAACCTAAATCTTCCTAATATCACTAATTATTAGGGGTTTAATTTTGTTAATAAAATGTTCATTTCACAGGTGATAATGGATTGAGTATGCAGTGAGCTCTCACTTGGGACATTCAGCTTATTTATTATTTTATCATACCCTGTTTCTACTTGGATTTGTGTGTGCTCTCGTGTGCCAACTAACTGTGATGCCCTTTCTGTCTGGGGTTATTGTGTGAGGCCACAGGTGTGATGGGTCCTTCCTGGTTTTGGTACAGTTTTTCCTATTTCTGAGTCTAACTGGCTTTTTCAAAGTTCCTTGAGTTTATACTTTTCAGATTGTACAAATAGAAACAAGCACTTATACTAGAAATATAAATAATAAGACAAGAAAAAAAACCACACATATAATCACTCACTAATTATAGCCAGTAAAATATTGTGTATTTTTATTCACCCTTTTTTGTGAACTTTATATTTTTCTCTCATGTGTTATTATGGACTTAAAGAATTTTTCAGTGTTTTAATTACCTTATGGTTGCAATGGACTCCATCATAGTACAAGGAGGAGCCACAGAAGAAGTATTCATAATATACTGTTGCATGTTTCACTACACGGCCAGTGAAGGCCCTTATTCGGAGACTTTTTTTTTTTTTAACTTATTAAGTAATCTCGGGATACCTGGGTGGCTCAGTCCGTTAAACATCTGCCTTCGGCCCAGGTCATAATCCCAGGGTCCTGGGATTGAATCCCCCATTGAGCTCCTTGCTCAGCGGGGAGCCTGCCTCTCCCTCTGCCTGCCCCTTCCCCTGCTTGTGCTCTCTCTCAACACCCAACGTGGGGCTCAAATTCCCCACTCCGAGATGAAGAATCAAGTGCTCTACCAACTGAGCCAGCCAGGCGCCCCTTAGGAGACTCTTAAAAGGGATCCTTTCAACACAACACCTGACACTTTTGAGAGTATCATCTTTTGGCAACTGCAGCAGCAGAACGTTCCAGATTTTTTTAAGAGTGGAGTCAGCTATTATTCAAGAACCCTCTTTCGTTTTCTTTGATCTTTTCCTCACTTCTCTTTCCTTTTTGGAATTGAATAAAAGACCAAATACTGAAGACTCTTTTATACCTGAGAGTTTATGTTGAGCAAATGTGCTGCTATTGTTGGACTACTTTAAGTGGTGCCAGAGCTCAAAAGTTTTCTTTTTAAGATTTAGTTAGTGTTCACATTGATCTTTCTTTTTTTTTTTCTTCTTATGGTAAGTCATTTTTTCAACCTTCAAAATTTTCTCATACCTTGAAAGATTATTGGGGTCAAGGGGCTAGCAATTAATTGAGGAAGTAATTAAATCTGACAGTAAACATTTATTATGGGATAGTGAGCAAAATTTGCTTTTTTAAAATGATCAAACGAGACTTAAACTTTAAATTCGGGTGGGCACCTTTTTCCTCAGGAAAGGGGCTGTGGGCATGACAGGTACATGCCGCTGTTAAATGTTAGCTTCATTATACAGTGACTCAACACTGCAGGGGTGCCTCTGACTTCATAAGGCTATTAACTTTCCTTATGACTCTATTTACCTAAAAATTAGCAGGCACAAGAGTAGGAGAGTTAGAATATAGATAGTATTTTTTCAAGATTAGCACACAGTGTTTTGAGCAGGCTTACTCTGGGTTAAAGTAATCTGAGTGGCGCGGATGAAAAAGTGAACTGAAAGCCTGGAGTTTCCTCAAGACGATCAGGATGAGCATGAATGTCCCCGGTTTTATTGGGCCTAAGCCCTTTCTGTCTTAATTACCTACATCATCCCTTCTCCTGGCCAAAACCATTCAAAGATGTGCTGGTTCTCCTTTCCCATTAACCATTCACAATGTTTATTCCACTCTAAATTTCCTTGTCCTTAATAGGAAATAAGAGTTACTGCCTCTTCCCACATGAATGGGAATGCCTTTGGGAAAGTACTGGACAGTAGTGGAAATTACATTAGAAAAGAATTCTAAAGAATTGAGTTCTTAAAAACTAATTTCACTTAGCATCATTAGTCATAAGGAAAATGTAAATCAAAACCACAATGACATACCACTTCCTATCTAGTAGGATGCTTATGATAAAAAAGAGATAATAACAAGATGAAGATTTTGAGAAATTGCTGGTGGGATGCAACATGGTTCAGCCCCTTGAGAAAACAGTTTAGCAGTTCCTCAAAATGTTAAACAGAGTTGCCATATGGCTTAGCAGTCCCATTTCTAGGTATATACTGAAGGGAACTGAAAACGTATATTCACACAAAAACTTGTCCATGAATGTTCATAGGAGCATTATTCACAATGGTAAGCCAAAAAGTGGAAATAATCTAAATGTCTTTCAACTGATGAATGGGTAAACAAAATGTGATCTATCCATACAATGGAATATTATTATTCAGCAATAAAAGGAAATGAAATACTGATAACATGCCACAACATGGGTATACCTTGAAAACGTGATAAATGAAAAAATCTAGTCACAAGAGGCCACATATCCTATGATTCCATTTATATGAAATGTTAGACAAGTCCATAGAGGAAGAACGTAGATTCATGTCTGCTTAGGGCTGAGGGAGGAGGGGGAAAAGGAGATTGACTGTTAATGGGCTTTCTTTTGGGGAAAAGAAAATGTTCTAAAATTAGATCATGGTGATACAGTAAAAAACATAGAATTTATATATTTTAAATGATTGACTTATATAATATGTGATGTATATTTCAATAAAGCTATTCAAACAAAAATCAAAGCTAACCTAAAATTAGTGGAGCAGAGTCTAGATAAAACCATATTGGCCGGGGCGCCTGGGTGCCTCAGATGGTTAAGCGTCTGCCTTCGGCTCAGGTCATGATCCAGGATCCTGGGATCAGCCCCACATCGGGCTCCCTGCTCAGCGGGAAGCCTGTTTCTCCTTCTCCCTCTGCCTCTCCCCCTGCTCATGCTCTCTCTCTCTCTCTCTGTCTCAAATGAATAAATAATAAAAAAAAAATCTTAAAAAAAAACCATATTGGCCATGACCTGATAATTACTTCTTTTAAAAATTTTATTTATTTGAGACTGAGAGAGTGAGCGAGAGACAGCGAGAACAGAAGTGGGTAGGGGCAGAGGGAGAGGGAGAAGTAGACTCCCCTGCAGAGCAGGGAGCCTGATGCAGGGCTCTATGCCAGGACCCTGCCGGAAGGCAGACGCTTAACAGACTGAGCCACCTAACCTGATAATTATTGAAGTTAGTAGGTACATGGAGGATTTTCATACTATTTAAACTCTACTCGTGTGTGTGTTTGGAAATTTCTGTATTAAAAGGTTAAAAAAAAAAAAAAGCAAAACTAACCTAATGCCTAATGGTGAAATACCAGAAGCATTCACCATAAAATCAGGGAGAAGGCACTATCAGCAGTATTATTTAACCTTTTTTTCCCCCCTAAATCCTTTAGAAAACCAGTACTCCATAGGGAACAACTGGAAAACAACTGCTTTATTTTTTCCCCATAACTTCTACCAAGCTTCTCTGGGCCAGTTAATTTCCTGCCGATGGATAAGTGTTTCAGTCACAGTTGGAAAATAAACAGTCCTCTGGCTTCTTTCAGTCACAAAATCAGTCTCATTTTAGTAATGAGAATGTCTGTTTCACTGTACTAATCGATGCCATAAACTTTTGTTTTAAAAGTTTGACCTCCTGGCTCCTTGAGCTAGAAGCTTCCAGTGAGAAAGCTTGATGATTGTTTCTTTTTTTCCTTCTCCTAACCTCTGTTCCACTAGACAACTTGAAGTGGGGAGCAGCAAAAAGAGAGGGGAAGAAAAATCTTAATTGTAGGGACGCTCTTGCCTTGGGGCATGTTCACAACTACTAAGGAGAGAGCTGCTTACAGTTCCTACATTCAGGCTTTGGGCATCAGTCCTCCACGGAGCTCTTCTCTAGAGCTGGAAATACTTTTGGTAGGCTTAGAATAAAACCAGACCCAGGCCAGCTCCTACTATGGGGCCCATCATAGCTACTTCGAAGAGGGACTGTGGCCCCAGTCTCTGTGCTTTCTAAACTCTGGAACACAAGGCACATTTTCCCAAGACCTCCCATCACATTCTACTTGGAACCCTTGCGGCACTGGGGTCCCTCTTTTCTGTCCCTGTGAGGCAGGAGGACTACAGAGCATACCAGTGCTTTCCAAAAATAGATCTTTCTCTCAAAAACAGCCTCCTCTCATACACTCTCCAATCTCTGAAACACCTTTAGAATAGATGTTGAATGGATCCAAGGGCACAAAATCAGTTTGCAGCCAGCTCCTTTTGCACGATACATAAGATGGCCAGGGTTCTCGGGGTACCTGGGCGGCTCAGTTGGTTAAGCGTCAGGGTCCTGGGGTCGAGCCCTGTTTCGGGCTCCCTGCTCAGCGGGGAGTCTGCCTCTCCTGCTCCGTCTGCCCTTCCCCTCCACTTGTGTTCTCTCTCTCTCTCTCAAATAAAATCTTAAAAAAAAAAAAAAAGATGGCCAGTGTTCTTGCTGTGGAATGCAGAGTTTTGTGGCCCCTGTTCTCTTGCTCTTCTTCAGGACTTCTAAACTAAGAATGAGAGAGACATAGTTTAACATCCTGTTATAGACTGAAAACTATTACAAATAGAAGAGAATTCAAAAGTACACAGTATCCAGAAGTCAGTAGAATTTTGTTTATTTAAAACAATAGATGAAAGATGCATTGGGAAAAGTGTATAACAATTTTAAGTAAACAATAATATAAAACACATTTATATATAATAAATATATACTTAAAATATAATTATGTTTATATGTTAATTTTCTGTGTAACATAATTATATCATATGCATATTAATTATTGTAATTTATAAATATGATTAATAGCCACAAAAATAGTATAAGATACCTAGGAATAATCTAAAAAAGAAATGAGCATGATACACATGAGGAAAACTTTCAGTATCCTGAAGGACAGAAACATTGATTTGAATAAATAGAAAGGTATTCTGTGTTATAGGAAAGCAAGACTCAACATCATAAAGGTGTCAGAACTCCTTAAGTTAACGTATGCATTTTATGCAGCCTCAAGAAAAATACCAATATATTTTTTAAACAATTTATGCTCATATGGGAAAGTAAGTCAGAATATCAAGAAACTTGGGCGCCTGGGTGGCTCAGATGGTTAAGCGTCTGCCTTCGGCTCAGGTCATGATCCCAGGGTCCTGGGATCGAGTCCCACATCAGTCTCCCTGCTTGGCCCGGAGCCTATTTCTCCCTGTCCCTCTGCCTGCCCCTTCCCCTGCTTGTGCTCTCTCTCAACACCCAACGTGGGGCTCAAATTCCCCACTCCGAGATGAAGAATCAAGTGCTCTA